GGATATTGCTACGGAGCAGCTGAGTTGTGCTGCTGTTGGAATCAAGTGAGGATTATGGTCATCCTCTGATACAAATGTAAGGAATTTGAGAAATTCTGTAAACTTAAATAATATTTAGATTTACTAGACTGTAGTTGATGTCTGTTCTAATGATTATTTACATGTTCATGTATGTACGATACTGTATGTCCTGTGGGGTGGAGCCATGTGTGTAAGAGGCTTCGAAATTCTGTAGTAATGTAATTATATTTTAATGCAGTTAAGTGTGGGGCCCGGTTGAGAATCTGCTTTATTAATCTCAAATCGAGCTCCACGTCACCCACCCCGTTTGGGGGGTGTGACAAGATGTGACTTGTAGAGGCCACCACACGCACTCTAGAATATAGGAGAAAGAAGGAAATAGGCTAAGACTTTAGATGAATTAAAATTAATAGGCCAATGGTTTATATAAGTTAATAAATAGGCCAAATTACTGTTTTCGTCCATAACTTGTCTGGTTATGAACCATAATTTGACAAGTTATTGTCTATAAATCACGGTTTTTGTCCATAACTTGTCTGGCTATGAACCATAACTTGACAAGTTTATCCATAACTTATCTGGTTATGAACCATAACTTAACAAGTTATGACCTATTAATTTTTATAACTAAAAGTTAGCCTATATACTTTCTTAAGCTTTTCATATTGGCCTATTTTCTACTGTTTCCGCTAAAATATCTGAATTGAGCCATAGTTTTTTAGGTGGGAAACCAAAGCGGCCCACCAAGAGTTGTTTCAAGTTTTTTTTTTTCTTTCATACTTGAGATCTCTTGTCCACTTGGAGGAAAGCCCAATACTATCCAACTACCATCTTAATGGTCAACACACATCATGAATTATATATAGAAATTAGAATCTTCTCTAAATAGAAAAATATCATCTCACTATTTACTCGTATCATTTTAATGTGAAAACTTAGACTAAATTTTTCACAAGAACGATGAATTTATTAATTCCAATTCTCTAGAAGTACTATTCCTCTAATTCACTCGACAAAAATAGCTACTCGGTTAATAAACTAGAGAAAATTTTAAATTTAACTATTATTTTTTTCAAGTCTATTATTTATTTATGATGTTACATATGATATCATTACAAAAAATAACCTGTACATTACAAAAATAACCTATAAGTTATGAAAAAATAACTCACAAACTATTAGTGGTATAAGATATATTTAATAATCATGACATAAATAAATAGTGTTATTTTATTAATGGTATTTTTTAAAATTCCCCAATACAATATCCACTCTGTGTCCGGCCCAACTTAAATTTTTAGTTTTCTGGTTTTCATGACTTGTGCATCAAAAAGTTTAGGTGATATTTTCTCCTACCGAGAGAAAATTCGAAAATTGTTTCTGCTCCATGATAAGAAAAGGACCAAAAAACAAAAAACAAAAGAAAGTCCTTCAAAAAGAAAATAATTTTTTTATATATTTTTTATTAGAGAGGGATAAATTAAGAACTTCAGTTCTATAATACCCGAAAATTTATACCAAGACCAAAAAAAAAAAAATGTATTTTTGGACATGGAAAGGGACTCAACAAAACAGAAAACACTAGACAGAGTACATGTGCTTTTCCTGCAAGGTCAGTTATTCTATTTTGCTTATGCAACAATTACACGACTCCAAATTTATCCAATTTTTAACATCATGTTAGGAAAAACTTGGAAAAAAGGGAAACAAAAAACCTCTTCAAATCAGATGGTCTCTAGTTACTGGTTTATTTTCTTGGGCGCCAAGAAAGAGGTAGATAATGTAACTTGGGAGATTCTTGGGATCGTTTTTGTTATTTTGTAATTCTAGCAGTCAAACCATGGCCTATATTGCACCCAATAATACTAGTGCATATGAATATCAAACTTTGTATATGAAGTTTTACAGAAGCCAATAAAACAGTAGTAGCCCAAGAAAATTAAAATATTGTTGAGAAATAGTTCTATACCTTCAAATTTTTGTCAAATTTTGTTGTGTTATCATATTTTTTTGTTTCTTAATCTAATATGAATCTAACATAAATCTAGCACAATACAAAATTATAAATAAGAATTTGTAGGTTATGAAAAATACCCTACAGGTAAAAACGTAATTTTTAGCCGCTAAATTTTCATCATCTTACATTAAATTACCATATTAAATTTAGTCCCAATATAATTTTAATTTAATCTAGCACCTCAATTTGATCAGATGGCTAAAATTTGTGCCTAACTGGTAGAATTATCCTAAAAGACTAAGATAAATAACATCCAAGCACCATAGACTTATCAACATTTGTAAGCTGCGCTCTAAACTTTTAATTTTGACATTTTGGACTCTAAACTATACCATTCTTGATAATGTAATCCAACCCATAACGGATTACGTCAATTAATAGACGACAATCAGGGTCTAAAATGTTAAAATCTTAAAAATTCAAGGTTTTAACTTGCCAATGAACGAAAATTCCGTAACGGATTACGTCAATTAATAAACGACAATAAGAGTCTGAAATGTTAAAATCTTAAAATTTCAAGGTTTTAACTTGCCAACCAATGAAAAGTTTAGAGCGTACTTATGAACAAATTTGGGGCAATTTTAGTCCAAATTTTAAAATTTAAGTACTATTTGCCAAAATCCAAAGTTTAAGATCCAAATTGTGTTGAGGTTGCCCTAGTGCAGTTAAAATAAATAAAATAACCCAAAAGTAAAAACTAGAGAGAATCAAATAACCACCATATAATAATTAGTTGGTTTGGACGTACAAAAGGCACATTTTCCCACTGGGCGATCTGCAGAAGAAGATCTCACTTTCAGAAACAATATTCTTCTAACAGTTTCCTTAGACCAATCTCTCTCTCTCTCTCTCTCTCTCTCTCTCCTCTCTTTCTCTCTCTTCCTCACATGCAATTGCAATGGAAAAGGAAGGAAAACGAAAGGTGAAGGAAGAAGAGCAAGAGAAAGAAGAAGAAAAAGATATAAGCAAGCTGGTTTTGGGTATAATGGAAGGCTACAGCGACTCTGTGATTCCACCATTGTCACACTTTCAGTCACCTCGGAGTGAATCCGCCATTAATGTCGTTGCTGAATACAACTCTAGCTCCAAAAGAAAGCGTGAAAATATCAGACCAAAACCACCTAAGGAAGACTGTCTAGGGAGAGAAAGAGATCGAAGAGTGAAGATGAACGAAAGCTTTGCTCTTCTTGAGTCCATTGTTCCTAGTCTTTTGCCCAAGGTTTGTCAGTCTAAACCATAAACATATATATATATATACACACACTTACATACATACATACATACATACATACATATATATATATAATATATAATGGGTTTTCTGTTTTGGACATTTTTATGATTGTTAATTAGTATTTAGCTGATTAAGTTCAAGCCTATAATCGGTTCTCTCTTTTGGGCATTTTTTATGGCTATTTCTTTATTTGATTCTTTATTCTTACATGCCTTTCTCTGCAATCTTCTTTTTTTGATCATTTGGGTGTTAATCTCTTTTCAATGCATGGTTAATGCCTTAATGGGTTGTAGTTAGTTTACTTTAAAAAGTTTTCATTTTTTTTTTTTTTTGGGAAGGTGATTAAAAGTTTGGCTTAAAAAGTTCTGTTTTTTTTTTTTTTTGGAAGGTGATTAAAAGTTTGGTTTTAGTACTATGGAGTACTGTGGACACATGAACATGAAGTTGTCAACCCACTACATTAATATTACAGTCACATTACATTTTCTTCCTTTTTTTTTAATCCCTTAGAAAAATGGACTATATATGCAATTCAAGCTATCAAGGAAAATGACTCTGTTCTATAACATAATCGCCCTTGTTTCATGAATTAAAATGTTGAACTTATATACATATATATATATATATACGTATATATATATATATGCTATGGCTCTGCAATCTCTATATTTTGATCATTGGTTTCATAATCTCCTTTTTATGATTAATGCCAAGATCACAATGAATAAAATAAATAAATAAATAAAGGGTTTATATTCTACTATTTTGACGATTAATCACAATGCCGAGATCAGATTGTACATCATCAATTGTCCCTTTTGATTAATCAATCACAAAGTTCTCTAAACCTTTTTTTTATTATTATTTACTTTGTGTACTAATCTTTTTGTTAGAGTTCTAAGGAGAAGGTTCTTCAAACAACAACCGAGTACATCAAATACCTAGAGGAAAAAAAGAAGATGTTGGAGAAGCTCAAGGAGTCCTCAAGATCACCAATGGCTGCAACAAGAAGTCTGGTTTTTCCATGCACAAGCAGGAATTCATCTGTCACTGTCACTGCTTGTGGAAGTGTTGCCTTGTTTGGGATCGAGTCCCGAAAACGACATGGTTTTGTGACACAGATTTTCATGGTGTTCCAAAAGCACCGGGCTGAAGTTTTGGCCGCAAACGTTGTGGTCAACGACGGCCTGTTGACTCTCACTGTCACAGCTTTTGTGAATGGCGATGAGAGCACTACTATTGAGGGGATCAAGAGAGACATTTTGATGTTAAAGAATTTGGATGGTGTATGATCTTTGTGGAGGTATTGAGAAAGGAGAATAACACAAAGTTATAGATGAAAAAACTTGTTCATATTAACAAAAAGCTTAATGAGAAAAAGTAAAATTGGTTTTCAAATCTCTTTTGAAGGTCATTGGAGCCTAACCCCACTTCTTTTCTTTTGTTGATTTTCTTTTTGAAGTTGTCCAAGAAAGAAAACAAAATGAATGGCATAGTGGAAAGTACCAAAAGAGGTACAAATATAACAGGAAAGGAATATATTTCAACTGCTTGGAACATGGGCAAGGAACGGTTTTGGTGAGTTGTTTTAAGACCCAAATCATTGCTTTGCACATGGTTCTCTCCTGCATTTTGACAAGGTCCACATAAAGAAACATAGGAAATTCAGAAGAGAAAACCCCATTTCAGTAAACTAATAATTAGAGAAAGGGAAATTTTTTCCCCAGCTCAAAATGTAGCACAATCAGCTGGGGCAAAAGAAACCACTTCCTCATCAAGGTCATAGCCAACAAGATAGTTTTGCTGCTGAACATTTCCAAGTGTGGACAGCAACCGATCGGACCGAACAATTGAGAGGCACCAAAGTCCCTCTTGCACTTCAACATAAGTGCTTTGTTTCATCAGTATAACTTCTGTACCATCAAACTGAAATGACACGTCCGGAGCCAAGTCCAAGTCCTCGAAACTTCCCTCGAAACAAAGTTCAAGCCAATACACGGGGCCTTTTCTTTGCGGCAAAGGAGTGGCTTCACCCAATGCCTTGATCAATGCATCATAGGCTTCCGATCTCAGCGTTGTATATGTTGTGCCTGAATCAATCACAAAACCTCCCTCCCCACTATCAGTCCTGTTGAATACTCCATCAGGAAGAGGAACTCTTCCATCTCCGACGCTGATTCCCACAACCGTCACATAATAGAACCAGTCCTCTCCCTCCAAAAATGGAGTTCTCCCACCAGAAATAACTGCTTGGGAACCAAAATACATTTTACTTCCTGAGCCTTGATCATTTGGAATGACCATACAATAGGAGAACTTCCTCATGTTTAGCTGAGAGATCAACGACAATGGAAGCCGGTTCAAGCCCACTGCACCGATATACGTAGAGTTGACATGCCAAGAAGTCTCGTGAGAACAGCCAAATCTCAAGGAACCAACATCGACGTGGTTGTTGCTGCGACGAGGATCCTCAAATGCAAACTTGTCAACTGAAAAAGTTCCCTTTGTAATTGACCCGTCAAGGTAAGTTATCGAGTACTCGCAACTCTGATAAGGATTTGTGCACGTTCTTGCTGCACCTACAGCATCACAGCCAAAGGAATCACAAGAGAGACTTCTGTAAGAGGACGATTCGGAAGGCTCGAAAACAATGGGAATTTCCGTGCTTTGGTGGCTGCAGGATTTGCAGGGGCATTGAAGCCAAATGAAGTCACTCCCTGTATCTGCAATGGCGTGGACTTGAATTGGGGGACTGCCAATAGAGAAGCTCATAGTGTACTCGCCAGAATCAGGGATTAATCTTGAAGCGATATCTTCCCTCCGTGTGGATGTTGATAAAGAAGAAGACGCGGTGATGAGAGAATGGAAGTGATTGAGGCGAGAGATCGAGCGACGAGCAGCTGCTTGGATTCGATCAAAGCTGGTCATCGAGTGGTTATAGAATGGAGATAGAGGCGAATCTTGGTGTATCAAACGAACAGAGAAGCCAAGATCATGAGCTATGCTGCTGAAAGCGATTCTAGATCGAAGGATCAAAAGGTTGGAAAGAAAGAGGAAAATGTTTGAGAAGTTGAAGAGGGAGGTTATAGCCATGTTTATGAAAGCACGATCTATTTTCATGAAAGATGGTAACTACCCACAAGCTAACGTTGTCCTATGAAGACAATGTATATGCATTTTGAATTATTGACTTTAAAAATATAGGAAGCTTTCTTTGGCGTGACATAGTTTATTTCTAAGACAAGATTGTCCACACCAACAATGGGTTCTAATTATATTAGATTAGAAGCATGACAAGGTTGTGAATCTCGTATTGGCTATCAAATTGAAAATAACTTGACAAATACATGATTGGATTTGAGTTGAATTTACTTTTGGCTTTAAGGAATGTCTTTTCTTTTCTTTTCCCCCTTCTTTTTTGCAGAAAAAAGTAAACGTACTTTGCATGTATTTATTCAATCAATAAGGATTACAAGCAGAAAAGGTTCATTACTCAGCTACAGTGCTAAAGTGAAAACAACCTTAAGTGGCAATGGGGTTTATTGTTATACCCCTTTAACTGAACGACAGATTTTGTACACTGAAATATAAAGAGTAAAAGCAACGGAAATCAAAATTTGCTTTTGAACGAAATGAATTACATCCAACTGGCTGAGGAAGATCTATTTTTTAAGCGCGCCGAGAAGTAATTGAGGAACAAGAAAAGTCTCTCTAACCTTGATTTAAAAAAAAAAAATGTATTGGTCAGGCGAGCAATTTTCAAAGTTCACTTCAACCATGACAAGAACAATTTCTCACATTCCACCTCAAGGACTTCAAGAAGGAATACCTTCTTTGCCAGTTAGGTCTTCCATGTTCACACTTGCTTCTAAGCCCATATTTAGTAGAACATTGATCATGGCGGGAATATCAGTTTGAAACTGCCTAGCTAGCTCCTGAGCAACAAAGAGAATAAGAATAAAGTTTGGTAAAGCAAGGAAACATTGTAATTTTTCTAAAGAATAACTACGTAAATTAAAGAAATCAAAAGGGGTACTTTTTACCTTTCTGTTTTCTTCCTTTTGGCGCTTGATAACATCCACAGGCCACTCACTTACTAGTTTTTGCAGCTCGACCATGATGCTCGATTTCTTTGCATCAGGCAGATCCTAATGTGCATAAGTTACAATTGTGTCAAGAAATGGTGAGTATATACACATTATCTGGGCAAACTTTGTAATTTCTTTGTATGATGATATAAATTCATACGTCCAAAACTGCCTACCACTCAATCCTCGCGCAGATCAAAATGTTATCTTTTCTGACAGGAAGTATATGATACTTTGTTTCAATCCAATAAAAAGAGGAAAAAAATCCTTCTCCCAAATATGCAATTATAAAGTTCCTTTTCATCACTTCTGTTAGAAGTAAACTAATATGACAACTCACCTGATTTAAAACTTGAATGACTGCAGCGGCATCCTCTGGTTTACGTTCCAACAAAAGACCCTGTAAATATGCAAACAACAGTGTCTGGTTATATCACCAGAACGGGGCACTAAAATCGTTCTGTTTTAATTTCTGTTCAAGCTCTGCAAAGCTGACTATTTAAACTTGTAAAGCATTTGATTCATATGATACTTCACTAAAAATGCCTTCAACTCTAATCCAAGGAATGTTTGCGTGGGTGTAACTATCTTTAAATAGACGAGAGTTGACCTTAGCACAAGAAAATCCTGTTGCAAGGGTATGATGCTTCATTGACTCAGATCTGAGCTTCTCAATCTTCCACAACACCTCAACATCCCCTAGAAATAAAAAGTTAAAAAGTTTCAAAAAAATGTTTTAAAGAAACAGTCAAAGCACGATATGATAATTACATATCACAGGAGTAACATACATGACGGGAGGAGGGGTGGAACTGAAAAAATGGAAATACCTATTCTCGATGCAAACTCCATCAACACATCGAAAGAGCTTTGCCGTAGCTTGACTCCAGCCTTGACAAACTTCTTTGAATACTTGGACATCAATGGCCAATTATCAGCTTTGGAACAAATGCTGCAATAGTTAAATCCAAATTCATATTAAGAACATATACATAAGAAAAAGAAGATAAAATTTGAACACGCGCACACAAGTTTTAGGAAGAAAAGAAAAGGCCAGAGCCGGAGGCCTTCTTTAACATAGAATGCATACCTGAAAACAATATCTGCCGTACCAGGTTGCAATGGTAGGTCATTCTTTTTAAGAAGGTCCATTATCTCCACCATAAGTTTCGTATCATTTCGATCCTTGGCATATAACTGCAGTCGTATCAGAGCAAGCATTTAAACGTGCAAATGGTAAGAACTACAGAACTAAGGCAATCATGTGGAAGAGCTAAATGTTTCAGCGCTAGAAAATCTCTACAATGGAGTAGAATGTCGTTACCAACAACTGGTGGGCAGATGCAATAGTAGGATTTAATCCATATACATTGTGGTTCCACAAGGTCTTCTTACCTGCAAAAGTATAAGCTGAACTAGTCTAAAAGAATCCATGAAAGGACAGCATTTTAACTGCTAAAATTCCAATAAAGATCTATATCTATTGAATAACCAAGAAAGAAACTTTTCAAAACTAAAGATAATTATACTAAAGAAGAAGAACAAGAAAAAGCTTACCGAAGTCGAGGGCTCCTACACGAACACATGCCTTTGTAACCTCTCGGCAGAGATTCAAATTAAAGTTAGAACTGATCCGAAGATTTGACAGTCTCTGCAACCAAAACCAAAGCATAAAAAATATCAAGGATTTAAACTTAAAACCTTAATAATCACTATAAACAACCAAAACTAAGAAGTTGGAAACTAACAAATCGCCGGAGCTTCTCCAAAACGTCAAAAAGAAGTTTGATATCTTCCCGGTTTTTGCTATTCTCAAGCAATGACCATAACCAAGCATTAGGCACCATTGTTCGCTTAACAACAACGGATTCGATAATTTTATCATACAACTCCTTAACACCCTCTGCATTTCCAATTGGCAAAGCAAAAATCATTAAAAGAACTTGAAAAAAGAAATGCATTTTATTCGCACCGAAGAAAATGGACAACCTGTAGGATTTCCTTCGACATTATTCGCTTCCGAAGAAAAATTTGCTTGTGACAATGAGGTTTTAAACACTGTGCATTGTCCTATTTCTGAATGATTTCCTGGAATAATGCGGGCGCAAAAATCTCCTCATTAAATTAGGGGAAAAAAATAATCACTTTGAACTTTAAAGAGCTCAAATTAACTATTCTAGGCTCCTTATGAAAGCAAGACGATCAGGCCAATATTTTTCCTTTCATTTCCCTAAGTTTCTCAGCAATCAAACAAAGTACGAGACAAAATCTCATAGAAAAAACTAAACATCTGAAGACTTCTCAGTTTATGAACAACTTACATAAATTCAATTAGCGAAACAAAAAAGATCAGAAATTTGAATAAGTACCGGGAAGAAAGGAGGATTGGGAAGAGAAGGAGGTGTTGTTCCGCCATTGAAGGTGATTCTGGAGAGCTTCGGCGATCGGAACTTGAGGAGAGAGAAAGCGTTCGGAGGTGAGAGAAATCGGAGACTTGAAAAACCGCGAGAGCCGGCGAGCGTTCACGATGGCTTTCATGGCTTCGAAGGACTGAGTCGACGGCGAATTGGGCGGTGAGTTAACTCGGAGGGTTTTTGGAGATTGTGATCAGCTAAAGCATGAAAGCCAACACAGCTACTGAAAACAATCGATCAGGGTTTAGTGGGGAAGAAAGAGTGATATGTTTCAGTGGAACGGCAGTCTACGGTTCTTACTGTGGTCTTTATCTTGTTATACGACAACTGGATTCATCTGTGTCACGCATTCTTTGTCGTTTTTTTTTCTTTTTGTTGCTTTCGCTATTAAAATGTTGTCGTTTATTGAGATTTTATTGCCACTTCAAACGTTATTCCTATATATTTTTGTGCAATTTGGTACATAGGTTTCAACCACAATATTTTTACGATGGTGTTTTCTTTTATATAGAATTTGAATTTTTGTTTATTTTCAGGTTGTTGTCGTTGTCCTTTAATGATATCGTTTTTCAAACTGTTATCGTTTCTGAAGGTATTATCTTTGTGCTAATTCTGTCGATGTCCTTTTAATATTTTGTCGAGTTACATATTGTCGTTTTTTTTTCCACGTTCCCCCTCTGATGTTTTCGTTCCTTTTTTTTTTGGGATTAAATTCATACGTTCCTTATCATTTTAATATAATTTCATACGATACGATACAGTCATTTATATCGTGATATTGTTTTTTTCACTATCCTGTAGTCTAATAATATGTAGTTTATATATTAATTTTGGTAAGGTATAACTTATTAGTTGTCAGTTATTAGGATGCTTAGGAATATTTTTTCCGCTTACATGATACGATCCTTTCCAACAATATTGTCGTGTCTGCATCCTAACATAATGTCGTTTTTATAGGTGTGTTGTCGTTTTCAATAATCATTTTTCAAGATACTGTTGTTCTCTCAATTTTATAATCTTTTATTTTTATTTTTATTTCAATTTTTGTTCGTCCATCATTCGTTCGTCGCTTTCTTAACTTTACGTCGTTCCTTATGAAATTTGCGTTTCCCAAGTTTCGTACTTTTTCTGTGATGATGTCGCTCACTTACAAACTTGTCTTTTCATGCAACACTGTCGTTTTGTTTTTTGTTTTTATTTTTATTTTTTTTACCCTTTTTTCTTCTTTCAACATCCTGTCTTTAACAATATTTGGTAGAATGGCAAAGGCTTAGTACAGTAGTGTTGTAAATTTTAAAAAAATTATTTTTAATTGTGTTGAAGAAAAAAGTTAATGTTACAAAAAATAATTGAGTGTTTGGTAAACTATAATTATAGTAGTTGTGTTGGTTTTAAAATCAGTATAATAACGTTTGGTAAATTCTGAGGTTGAATTGTTATAAATAGTTAAAAATTACGACTGTATTATATTATACTATGATATAATATGTATAATTACAAAATAATATATATTTATTATTATATTTGATATAATAAAAAAACTATTATTATATAATATATTATATACT